GTGTTTTGAATCTCATTTCTCTCTTTCTCGTTCTGATATTGTCTCGAAGTAAAAAGCATTTCGTTGAGTTCATTGGAACTCCTACAGACTGCAGTGCTGCATCCGTAGGAGACGAAAATTCGTTCTATCCTAGGAAACGATTGCTGGACGCCTTTAGCACCATTGAAGGCAGCAAATTCGTTTTAAGGAAATATCGTGAAATCGGTGGGCTTGAATTACAATTTTGCATCCTGTTGATCAATTTTTGCATTCAGGTAATTTTGTCGGATTGTTTTCGAAGGAGTGAATTCAAACTCTAGAAACAACACAAACAAGTTCACGTGCGCTCTAGCCTTTAACTAAACAATTAAAGTGTCAATTTTCGTCCATTTAATATATCCAACTACTATGAATTAATACAAAGGTTACAAAATATTGATTGGAGGATCTATGTACTACATACATTACTCAAATATTGAGAATCCTATGGAATTTCGATGGACGCTTGTTGAGTAATTATTAAAAATCGATTTCGGGTACAAGCTAAGAGGAAAAGAGAGGGAAAAAAGAAATAGAAAATGAAAGTAAAAAGTTTGAGGTCACGAGTAGGATCAGAAGCTATATTTTAATCACAGATTATGCTTACATGCATATGCATGCATATCTCTTTACAACTTCAAACCCCAAAAAGCACTTTTTTTTTTAATTAGATTTTCTAAGAGTTTTCTACTTAATTATAAGTAATTAGAAAGAAAATAAAACATGATTAACGATAGCTGGAACAGGAAAATTCCATATGCAGGTGTGTAGTGACTTTTACGTGGAGTGCATCAAACCCTAATCTGCCAAAACTTTACAATTTTACTGAATGCACATTTTGCCCTTACATGTAATTAGGGTTCGTGTGTGTGTGTGTATATGTATATATATATCAAAATAATAATTAAGGGCATTTCAGTCCAGTTGCTAAAGGAAAAGATATAGCAATTTTGGGTAAGATATACAGTGCAGTGCTGCTAATAATAACTTGCCTAAAAATAAAAAGCCATCTTCGGGTCTTTTTCCTGACCAGCTTACCTTCCCTTTCTCTCTCTATCTCAAATAACATATACAGATATGCCTGGCTAAGTAAAAGCTAGGCTTATACAAAGAAAGAAAGATAAAAAACTAAGGGCTGAGAGGGTGAGTTTGAAGGGATTCTTAGAAATCCGTGTAGGCTTCGGAAACCATTCAACTCGCCGGAAAATAGAAATATTTTCCAAAGAAGCAAGGTCTGTGAGGCAAGAAGATCATTTTCTTAGGGGAACTTAATTTTTTTTTTTTTTATAAATGATCCTAACATTTTCCCTCTGTTAATTACGGCACGGTGCAGTTTTGTGTATGGAACTCTTGTTCAAGCACAGATCTGCACCCAGAAACCAGATGAGCTTTTCTTTTTCAACATAAAAAATGAAACGTTTTATCCCTAAAGGTTCTCTCTAGTGGGTAACATGTTTCCAAGAAATGTTTTTGTTTTTCTAATCATTCAAAGATATATTTTGAATCAGTATGATTCTTTTTCTTTTTAATGTTTCAAGTACAAATGATTATTAACTTGGCTACATACAGAATTATCTCAATTTCTCTAATTAATATTCATAAAAATTTCAAGTTTTTCTTAAACTTGCATCTTCCAAATTTTCTACGATTACATTCGTCATATATCTTGGGACATATTATATAGATCAAGGTTTGATTTTTCGGCCTGATGATCCGAAAATGTTGATCGGCAAATTCCCATGCTTTTCTTCTACTGCTTCTTTTGGTTTATATATATATATATATATATATACATATATATATATATATATATGCACACATACATATATATTATATAATTTTTTGGTAGAACAGTTCAAGATCTTCTCCATACAGGGATTTTCAGCTGGTGTATGTCATCATTTGCAATTTTTTGGATTAATTTTGAGCTGTTTTCAAGATCTCTTGTATCCTGCTTTGTGAATAGCTTTGATTTTAATTTGAATTCCTTTCTTCGACAAAGAGTTTCATATTCTCGATGTTTCTGTGTGCTTTGTTTATTTAACTTCTATAGATCTCCACGTAAAAGTCCTTCATCATCTCGTGTATAAAATTCCACTCAAAAACTGCATGTTTTTTAATCATATCTTTAGATCTCGACGTCCTTATGGGTGTTTGGCTGCCAATATGTGATCATTTTAAGTTTATAATTACAGATCTTTGAAATCCTCAATCAGCGTGATTGAAAAAGCCCTAATTTTCCCATGATCTTACAATTACTGTTAGCTTTATTATTGAAATTATAAATAATTGGTAGTGTAAATTTGTAGAGATTCTTGGAGAATTTAAGAAAAAAGTTTCATGGAAATTTGTTTTGAATTAGTAGGGTTTTACAAAATGGGAAGAGGAAAGATTGAGATCAAGAGGATCGAGAACAACACCAATCGGCAGGTCACATTCTGCAAGCGGAGGAATGGACTACTAAAGAAAGCCTATGAACTTTCTGTCCTCTGTGACGCTGAAGTTGCACTGATTGTTTTCTCTAGCCGTGGACGGGTCTATGAGTATGCCAACAATTGGTAAGTTTCTCGACTCATTTCTTTATGACTTACATAGAATTTGTAGGAAAGTGTGACTTGCTCATTTAATGTATATTCATTAAGAATTTTTCCCTGTTATTGAAAATTTTGATAGGATTCCATAGTCAAGCAAGCTGTACTTTATTTATTTTGTGAACTAGTATACTACGTACATGGATCATGAACTGGCAGATGCATAAACAGACGCGACGCATGTTTTTGCTTTAAATGCATGCTGTTACAATACCGAGATCATTGAAAACCAAGAAGAAAAAGAGCTTATTATTATGAAATTTTCTGCAAGCTAGCTCTCACAGAGTTTGAATCAGAATTGAATGGAAAAAGTAGAATAAAGTTTTATCTTTCATTACTTCTTTTTACTGAGATAAAATTTAAAACATCTGTCTCAATATGTATATATCCTTCAAATTTTGAAAAGAAAAAGTTACTGAATATAAGGGATTCTTGATTGTTTATGCAACAAAATTGCTGCTGATCGTCGCATGCCATCATTTTTCTCTGTTAGGAGATAACTATTCCCTTTTTCTTTTGTGATTTACATTTTTATCTAACCAGATAATAATAGTTGTTTACTTCGAATATTGACTTGTTTTTGTATTAAGAATGCTGTTTAAAATGATTATTATTTTCATTATCAAGGATCTGTTTTTAAAAATAATTAATATATGTGAATAAAGTGAAAAATGATAATGCTGAGCACATCATCCAAGACAAAGATTACACAACTGCAGTTAAGAGGCTACAGCACTAAATTCTTTCACATTTATGTTGTTTGTGAATTCCAGTTTGCGTTGGTTTTCAGTTTTCAATGTTTCCAATTATAGCTTTACAAAGCACCCTAATCTTTTGACAGTATTTGTAAACTGAAGTTGTGTACCCAGCAGCAGTTTTTTTGGTCAGTAAAAAGATTATAGCTTTCAAAAGTCTAAAGTTCTGTGTCTTTCATTTTCTATGTTACTCACAGAAAGCCAAGATTCTAGGGTTTATTTTTTTTATTTTTTGTGAGAAGCAGAAGAAAGATAAAATTTTAATGTATTATTTTATTTGTATAGAAATATTCTCACAAAATTTTACCAGAAGAGACTTATGTCTGTGGAGCCCATGCTTTGTTAAAAAAATGCCAAAAAAAATCTCCCACCCTAGTCCGTATTAATTCTGTGACTCATCGTTCTGGTAGTGTAGAAGAGTTGAATTTTAATATCTCTATATATATGTGCGTGTGGGGGTGCAGGGTGAGGAGTATTTCTTATGATCAGTTATGGACAAATGATTGATGTGTTTATCACCTACGATAGTTTCATTCAACGCAGTTATGTTCAACACTCGCTTGAATAATATCTAATACAACATTTTTTATAACGAATATGTGTGAATTCTAAAATTAATATTATATTTATCATGTATAATAAATACATATGTTCTGTATCTAATACGTTTCATGTTCATGGTCAACTTGATTAGTGTGTATTCTTAATATACTTTTTTATTCAATACAAACAATTATGTGGATAAAAAGTAAGTTTGACTAATTATGTTTATGAATTAAACATGTGTGAAAATGAGCTTCCAATTTAATTTTCAGGGGGACAATTTAGTAGCTTAAACATAAAAATATTTGAACTTCCTTTTATTCTTCAAGGACATTATAATTCGGATTAGACCTGAAACCTCTTTATTGAAAGCGGAATAGTTCTGATACCAATTTGTTGAAAGTCCCGTCAAATAAAAGATGAGAATAATACGGGCAATATGAAAATAATGGATTACAAAATAAATAAAACTTACGTGGAAACCTATCTATGGGAAAACCACGTGTAGATGCGGAGATTCACTATAATCAATATTAAAAAAATTATAAATGATATCTTCGAACCAATAACTATTTGGACAATTGGTTAATTCAATTTGTGTTGTACAACATATATTTTTAACCAAAGAATCCTTACATAACAGGAGAATTAATACATGAAAAGTTTAATATAAAGTGAAGTCTCAATACAATGGGTAAAACCAATAATGAAGAATTTGGGATAAAATAAGAGTCAAATTCATCTTGAATCCATTCAAGGCATCTTCAAATCTATTGCCAACTCCCAATACTCTTTCAAAAATATTTTCAATCAAATACTTAATAAGAATTCGGGTCAAAAGTCAATTCTACCAAACTCCACCTTGACACGAATTCCACTGCAATAAATAAAACTTAACTCATCAATTCCAACAAAATTCTCCAAACAAAAAACTCCTCCAAATTACTCTACCTCTTCTACATGTCCATACCGGTATACTCAACAATCGTGAACAAATTTCAAGCTCTGCTTACCAGCAGAATTACCATGCCCGCCAACCTGCTTAAATCATTCCGTTCATTATCGGATCCAATTGAGTCACCAAACCTTCTCGAAATACCACGAGCAACATGAACAACAAGATCACAACTAGTTCCACCAGAGCTATTGGAAAGTTCTTCAATATCATTACTCGAATCATCACAAGCAACCCGATCACAACCAACTTTACAAGAGTTATCACTTATTGAAGCATAAGCTGCAGTAGCATCCAAAGATATATAACCAATCCTTACATTGATTCTCCTCAAAAATCCAAAAAATTTAAAATAAAATAAAATTTGCAACAACAAAATTTCTTGTTGCGATCCAAAAGCAGAATTTCAAATTTCAAAATTGTCATCCCTAAAATAATTTACCTTGTTCAAATCTCATTTTAGTAACCAATTTAGACCTCCCAAGAAACTGCTAAAATACCTTGGCTCTAATACCACTTATTATAATTCGGACTAGATTTGAAATTCCTTTATTGAAAGCAGAATAGCTCTGATACCAATTTGTTGATAACCCGGTCAACTAATTAAAGACGAGAATAATATGAGCCATATGAAAATAATGGATCACAAAAAAAAAATTACGTGGAAACCCAAATCCGAGAAAACTATGGACGGAGTCGAAGAATTCACTATAATGAATAGTAAGAAATTACTAACAATCTTTTAAGACTAATAACTAATTCGACAATTGGTGAATTCCAATATGTATTGTAAACCACATAATTATAACAAAATAATTCCTAACATACTAGGAAAATTAATAATGAAAAGTTCAATTTAATGTGAAGTCGCAATACATTGGATAAAATCAATAATGGAGAATTTGGGATGAAATATGAGTCAAAATCACTTTGAACTGCTTCAAAACATCTTCAAATTTACTACAACTCTCAATACTCTTTCAACAACATTTCTAATCAAATACTCAATAAGAATTTGAGTCACAATCCAATTCTAATAAAAGATTGGAAGAAGCGTTATATGTGCTTCAAATTTAATTCTAGAGTTTGAGAAAAATATAAGATATTCTAACAATATTTAAGCATGATTGTTATTGGCTTATATCAATTTCTCGAAGGTAATTAAAAGCATGAACGATTTGAATGAACTTTGAATTTCATCACAGAGACTTATCAGAAGAGGCAGATACATAATCCTGAATTTTTTGTGTGTGCATATCATAGAGAAAATATTATCGTCCTAATGACTTTTCAGTATTGTCTGCCCTAAAGTGACATCACCTCTCGCACCATTTTAGAGACATAACTAATATTCCCAATTCTCTAAAGCAAAATTTATGAAGTTATTAATAAGAATAATGCCCATTGAACACCGAGTTGTAAGGCTCGGTGTACATGTAGCAGGGCCGTATTAATAAATCTCCTTCCCTGTTTGGTTCGGTCTTAAGAAAGAAGTTATTAGAGCTGGAAGAAGTTGCAGGCCTGTTTAAAGTATGGGTTTTTTTTTTTTTTTTTTTTTTTTTTTTTTTTTTTTTTTTTTTTTTTTAAGAATGTAAAGTTAAAAAGTATGAAAAATTATGAGTCCGTATGTAAAAAAATTTATCGAAAGAATGCATAATTGAGAATGAATTTTGAAAAAATAAAAAATAAAATTCAAAGGATATGTACCAAACAGTAGATTGATGAGATGTGCAGATTGAAATACCTATTCTTGGTGGATTAGATCTAGCTTCCATAGTTTGAATTCGTCAACCACATATTTCGATGACTCCTTGATTTTGTTTCACATCTCTTGACACTTGGGTCAACCAAATGCTTATGAAAACATCTTAGAAATCTAATTCACATAGATAAGTTATCCACCTTCAGCCACTTCCATCTTTTTTTTTTCTTTTTTTCTTTTTTTTTTTCCCTCTATTTTGGTACAACGAAAATGTTCAGGTCTTCGTTATTAGAGTAACACGTGAACGAACGATAATGATAAATTATCTAAAATATTTGTATTGCTTGCCAAATATTCCCCGAGTGAGCATCTATGCATTTGATTTTCTCATTATGCACTTTCATAGTACAAACGACGTAGGTTGATGAATTATTTAGATAACTTTTTGTTGATTTTCTGGTGAATATGCATGTACACTGTATTCATATATACGAATGATGCATGTGTATGTAAATGAGCTAATGGTGATTCTCCAATTTTATGTATATTTTCGAATATATGTGTTGAATATATATCTTTCTATCTACAGCATTAGGACAACTATAGACAGATACAAGAAATCAACTTCAGACAGTGCAAATGCATACACTACTCAGGAGATTAACGCTCAGGTAAAATGAGATTGTAATAAAAAATAATAGACACGCACACAGATAATTCAGGATGGACATACGAGTCATTAAAAAATAAAAATTTAATTTCTTATGTACCTCCTGTATCTGATTCTCTTATTTTTGTTAATAATTCTTTTGTGAATTTGTCGATAAGAATGCACCGTCTTATAATTTCAAAGAGATTTGTTTTTTGTTTTCAGAAAATATCAACGAGAAAGGAGTATATATGAGGATATCCAATTTTTATTATTATTATTATTATTTTTGGTAATGTTTCATTTTATGACTTGATTACAGTTCTACCAACAAGAGTCGAAGAAGCTGCGCCAGCAAATACAGATGCTTCAGAGCTCCAACAGGTAAACTCACCATTTAACTGAGCAAAAATCGTAATCCTTGAAAAGAATTTCCTTCCTACAAATGATCATAATAGGAAACAAACACGTGCAACATTTGACTCTTTCACATGTTAGTTGCGTTAGCTTGATACAAACTAAATTAGAGAGAAAATACTGAGGAGTTTTAAATTTTTGTATGTTTTGTATTTTATATGGTTTAAATTCTCCTGCAACTATACATCATGGATCATACCTAAAAGTTCCGGGAACATTCTACAACCACTTGGAAATTCACGGGAACGCTTTACTATGTCAAATTCAAATTTTAGCATTACCAAATTTACGTTCCAATTTACCGTTTGACCTTACGTGTGGAATTAATACAATTAATTGTAACAAGTTACAAATTAATTGTTGTCTAGGTGATTAAACATACACGTCCAATTAAGCCTATGTTGAATTATCTGTTTGCGTAAAGTAAATAAAACAGTAACAATACCAACCCAAAATATGATGACGGAGAAACCCCAACGTTGGTAAAACTATGGGACCAAACCAGTAGTTTCCACTATACCAATCCAACCAGTATAAGTTATGCCAAACTCCGTATCAAGTCAGACTCGCTGTTCCAGTCTCACGATCTACTGCCGTAAATACTGCTAGTCTCCTGCTAGCTTCCCGATCTACCTCCTGCAGCCCAATCTGCTGCCCAGTACAGCATCCTGGTCTCTAGCTGATTGTATCACCAAGTGAAATTCCAAGAACCTCCTGTTCTTATCCAGTTCCTACGCTTGTCGTCCACCTCTCTCGATCTCTTAATGAGAGAGTCCCTTCCTCAACAAATGAAAAAGTCCAGGTGTTTTGTCTTCACAAATAGTGATGTTTCTGCAACAGTGGATTGCCCGGATGACAAGGTGTTTATGGATGAATTTCTTGTTCAGTTTTGCCTTAGATCACTTGAGAGAATATTGAAGATGATATCTATGTAAAGCACAATATGATCATCTCTCTTTCACGTTCATGGCCTTTGTATTTATAATTGGGGGCAATTAGGAGTCCTAGGCCGTGTCAAACTTTTCAAAAATCGAAAATACGATTTTTCATATAACACCGTCGCTCAAGCGAACAGCGAGCGATGCCACTTTGCTTGAGCAAACATCGAGCAGCGAGCGAGTGAGTGACGACCATTCTGCTTCTTCTCGCTCGAGCGGTGGCAGGGCGAACTGCTAGCGAACTTTCGGTTTCGCAACCTTGATTTGAACCAAAAACTTAAACCCTAGTCCCTACCATCTAGTTTTGCTAAATTGCACCCTAAGTCCTTGATTTTTATAACATTGTACAATTGAGTCCTCGACTTTTACAAATTTACAATTTAGTCCTTTTGTCAATAGAATTGCCAATTACACCTTTAGACCTAACAAACTCCCCCTTTGACATTTTGTGACAAAACTCTACAAATAAAGTCAGGACAATAAAAAATAAATCAGGACTTGACAATCAAAAACTAAACTACCCAGTCAACTCAATCACTGAGTCTTGCATTCTTTCGTGCACTTGTTTCTTGAAATCCACAAACTCATATACTCAGTGTAAAAGCATGTGATGTAGGAAATATAAAAATTAATTAAAACTCTTAATCACAAATCAACATAACAGTTTGAGACGTGATATTGATGCCAATCAAGACACCAACAACACTAAACATCAAAACTCAAACAAATGGATGTGATATGGAATGCAATGCAACGCTCCTCCTTACTGTAAGCTTTCATGTTTTTATACAGTAGGTAAATGTATCTATTTCTCTCCCCAACGACCCCTAGACATAGCAATTTAATGCAAGTGATAACAATCAATGACGTCATGTGCATGCATATGCAGTCGCTCACCCATGTGTATGTTCAATCATTATTTTTTTCTCTCCCCCCAGTTACACATTTCTCTCCTCCTTTTTGTCACAAATGCTGAAGGGACATATATTAAGGCCAAGTCAAGCAATAACACATAATAATAAAAAATGCAATTGATAGCATGCAAAAGCAAAATCAACAAGTAGTATAACTTCCCACATACTTAGTTCAGTCCAGAATGAAGTAATAATATAAATGACTCATATGTGTAAAGTGTCACTGATCTAATGTAAGCAGGACTCCAAATTTTAATTTTGTGAGCTCATTTCTCCAGCTCATTAATTTTTCATCTTAAATGCAGGTTCTTCTCCATTAGGCAACTAAGATGATCTGTTAACCCAAGTCAGTTGACCATAGGCATCAGGTTTTAAGATACCCCGCAAATTTAATTGCTCGAGTCAAATAGACTCCGAAGAAGAATATTAAGATATGAGCATTTAAAATTTGGGAAAAATTTTTGGTTAAGGTCTACAGAAATTGGTCAATTCATATTCAAAGTCACCCCATCAACATGTGATAGTCATCCCAAATCGCACACACGCGATAGCCTCCCACTAATAAATTCATAGTATGTGCAATGCAGATGGTACATGAAGACACTTATACATATTAATCCAACTAGACCTAATCAAACAACGAAAATTATTCTACAGCTTATCAATTTTAACTCCTACATGATACAACGTACAAGCTCTAAGTCATGTGTCATGCTGTAGAAATTTTTATAACCAACTATTTTTGTCTTTTTTCAATTTTTCAATGTTTTTGTATTTTTCATTTTTCCTAAAATGAATGCTCCACACACAAAATAAAATAAAATCAAGCCCACAAAGACAAAAATAAACATGCATGCGCCAAAACTCGTAGGTAAAAATGTACATGCATGAAAAATAATAAAACAAAAATAAATAATATACATGTGATGCATGCAACAACTATATGTCAATTAAGAGCCAAGCATGCATCAAAAATACCTAATCAAGTAAGTATATAAGTGCTCTTTCCTTTAAGAGCACCACGATCTCTAACCAAATTTGGAAGATCGCTTTTCTTCACCCAAACCTATCTAGAGTGAGAATTGTTTCCAGGCAGCTGTGTCACCAATTGAGTCAAACGATTCACTTGATCAGCAAGGAATCCAATCTGACCAATAGACACCTGATTTTTTTTTTTCAAGTTCAAGTATTTCCTATTGTTCAGGTAGTGATGACACTTAAGGCAAATGTGACATAACTCTCCACAGTGAAAATATGTAGGGATAAACCTAGGACCTATGGTATGCTTACGCTGATTTCTATTCCTATGCCGACGGGTCCTACGAAATCTGGTAGACCTACGTCCTGAAGTTTCCACAACATTTGGTATGAGGTTAGTCACAATGTTTGGCTGGTTAGTAGCACGAACAAAGGTGGTCTGTAATGTACTAACAACATTCAAATCAAAACCTAGACCTTCCTTATCACCAGCCGGCTTGCCTATTCCTAGAATATTATCTAACCTTTCAGAACTACTACAAAAGGCAAGTAACTGAGACCTAGACAACTCTAGCTCACTCTCAAGGTGTTTAACCTAAATAGCTAAGGTTTCATTCACAATGGTCAGCTCACTTACTCTCCTAGAGGACATCTCATTTTTATTGGTGAGATCACTAACACGGGCCTTTAATTGTTCCTTCTCTAGCTTAAGCTCTTTCACTTTCTTGCTCATTGCCTGGTTAGTGGCTAAGATCTCGAGGCTTTCCTCATACATCCTATCATAGGCTGTTTCTAGATCTTACACACTTCCACTCTCATCACCTGAATTTTCACTACTATCTAAGTCCTCTGTCTTTTCACTCCCTTGATCGGATCCACTTTTACCCCTGGCAACGAAGCCCACATATTTTACACTCTCCTCACGGGTGGATTTCTCACTTTGATTTTTCGAGCTAGACTCGTCATCGGTGAGAGTAGTATTCATAGCCTTCTATTCAAATCTCTTAGCACTAGGGCACTCATTCCTCACATGACCAAAATCACGACAGTTATGGCATCTCATGGATTTAGATTTCTTCATAGATTCACTCGGGTACCCTCTTTATCTTTCTTGAGGCTTCTTCTTATTCCTAAATATTTTTTGAAATTTTTTAGTTAGGTAGGTCATCTCTTCATCATTGGGTGAATCAGAATTAGAAGATTCCATCCGAATATTCCTAACGGTTTTGAAGGCTATGGATTTTTCCTTAACTGGATTGTCTAAGGCCAATTCATAGGTCTGGAGGGATCCAACTAACTCCTCTACCTTGATAGTGTCAATGTCCTTACTCTCCTCAATTGTCGTGACTTTAAGCCTAAAACACTCAGGTAAGGATCTAAGAATCTTTCTCATTATCTTAGTCTGAGAGATTTTCTCACCTAGGTTGAAAGACGAATTTACTATGTCATTTAAGCTCGCATAAAAGACATCAAACATCTTATCATCTCTCATTCTTATCTCTTCAAACCTAGTGGCCAACATCTGCAGCTTAGAACTTTTAACTACCTGAATTTCCTCATGTGTGGTTTCTAAAGTATCTCAAACTTCCTTTGCTACCTCACACATGGATACTCTCCTAAACTCCTCAGGAGAAACTGCCATAAATAGGGCATGAAGGGCTTTAATATTTAAATTACAGCTATCCAATAGAGCTCTAGACCAGTTCTTAACAGGGGTAAGAGTGACTACATCATCTATTGTGGTACTAGAGGCTGACCAACCATTTACCACAATCTGCCAAACACCCTCATCTAAGGATTTCAAAAACGCCCTCATTCTCACCTTCCAATACGCATAATTGTTCCCATCAAAGTGGGGTGGCACATTCAACGACATACTCATCTAGACTAATGTAAGGTCAGGATTCGCACTTAGGCTCTAATACCACTTGAAAGTTCAGGGAACGTTCTACAACCACTTAAAAATTCATGGGAATGCTTTACTATGTCAAATTCAAATTTTAGCATTAACAAGTCACAAATTAATTGTTGTCTAGGTGATTAAATATACACGTCCAATTAAGCCTACGTTGAATTGTCAGTTTTCGTAAAGTAAATAAAACAGTAACAACACCAACTCACAATATGATGACGGAGAAACCCCAACGTGGGTAAAACTCCGAGACCAAGCCAATAGTTTCCACTATACCAATCCCGCCAGTACAAGTTATGTCAAACTCCGTACCAAGTTAGATCCGCTGTTCCAGTCTCACGATCTACTACCGTAGATACTGCTAGTCTCCTACTAGCTTCTCGATCTACCTCCTACAGCCCAATCTGCTGTCTAATACAACATTCTAGCCTCTAATTGATTGTATCACCAAGTGGAATTCCAAGAACCTCCTGTTCTTGTCCAGTTCCTACGCTTGTCGTCCACCTCTCTCAATCTCCCAATGAGAGAGTCACTTCCTCAACAGATGAAGAAGTCCAGGTGTTTTGTCTTCACAAATAGTGATGTTTTCCCTAACAGTGGATTGCCCGGATCATAAGGTGTTTATGGATGAATTCCTTGTTTAGTTCTGCCTTGGATCACTTGAGAGAATATTAAAGATGATATCTATGTAAAGCACAATATGGTCATCTCTCTTTCACGTTCACGACCTTTGTATTTATAGTTAGGGGCAATTAGGAGTCATAAGCCGTGTCAAACTTTTCAGAAATCGAAAATACGATTTTTCATATAACACCGTCGCTCCAGCGAAAAGCAAGCGAATAGCGAGCAACGCTACTTCGCTCGAGCGAACATCAAGCGACGAGCAAGCGACGACCATTCTGCTTCCTCTCGCTTGAGCGATGGTCGGACGAACAGCTAGCGAATATTCGGCGCCGCGACCTTTATTTGAACCAAACACTCAAACCCTAGTCCCTACCGTCTAGCTTTGCTAAATTGCACCCTAAGTCCCTGACTTTTATAACATTGTACAATTGAGTCCCTGACTTTTACAAATTTACAATTTAGTCCTTTTATCCACAGAATCGCCAATTATATCTTTAGACCTAGCAATACCATATGTCTAAGTAGCAGGAATAATTATGTATAGTCAATAGAATGGCACCAAAAGTTTACATTCTTCTTCTCAGACATCTCATGGGTGAGGGGTTGGGGTCTTTGAATGTGAAGGAGTTAAAGCAGCTGGAAAGCAGGCTCGAACGAGGCATAACTAGAATCAGATCCAAGAAGGTAAACAGTTAGTCATATATTATATAGTGAAAATGAAATGTACAAGATGAATTGATTATCTATCTAAAACATATGATTTATCAACCAAAGTGTTATACCTTATATATTCATTTTTCTTTTATCATACTAATTTTTAATGGTTAATATTTTTTCACTTTGACAGCATGAACTGATACTTGCTGAAACCGAGCATTTGCAGAAGAGGGTATTCTCTTAAACTGATACATAATTTGGTG